AACACAATTATAATTTAAAGGGTCCCCGTGGTTGGTCTGAGTCCTGATTTTGCTTGCTTTAATATTATCTGTGGAAGAGGATTTGGGTTTCTCTACAAGTCATGCACAGTATAAAAATGGTACAGACAGGTGACAAATAAGGAACAAACCCATGAATTAATGAGTGGAGAAACAAATGCTATGATGTTTCAATACAGGACACGAGGAGGTTTATTTAATGTTTTAAAATGATGTGTGAATTTCAAATTGTTAAACTAACTATGGGAAAATAAGAAATGGGTTCAGACACACAGACTAGACTGGTATTATGTATGTACTTTGTTCCTGATTCGAGAGGTTTGAAGAGATTGTTGCAGCCTTCGGTGGATTTAAATGTTCTCTGTTAGTGCCCTTTCTATACTGTTGGTGTGTGTGTGATGTGTTGGTGGTGTTGTGTGTGTGTGTGTACAGGTTTTGAATGAGGTGGTGGTGGACCGAGGTCCGTCCTCCTACCTGTCCAATGTGGACTTGTACCTCGATGGACGGCTCATCACCTCGGTGCAGGGAGACGGTAAGGGCGTCATGTGATGTCACTCTTTGGTCTTGACTTTGTTGTTTCTTTTCTCACTGAAACAAAGTAAAGTTTCTCACAGTCGGGGAGAACTCTGTACACCTGGAGCAGATCTGATAAATGTCCTCCCTCTCTCTGTCCTCCAGGTGTAATTGTGTCCACACCTACAGGCAGCACAGCGTACGCCGCCGCTGCAGGAGCCTCCATGATCCACCCCAACGTACCCGCCATCATGGTCACCCCCATCTGCCCACACTCGCTCTCCTTCAGGCCAATCGTCGTCCCAGCTGGGGTGGAGCTCATGGTAAGAATGAAGGGGAGGGGGGCTGGTGCACACATACTGTTTACAGATGGTGTCTTAGTAAAGCATCGGGCCGTCACGAGCTGCCAGAGCAGTGACAAAGATTCTCCAAGTGACTGAACTCTACTGTAAGCACGAACAACCATTTCCCAAATAATATTGACGATAATGATTTGTGACGGTGAAGGCCACATTCATTATAAATCATCAGTGCCGGCGGTTTTTGAGTTGTCGGTTCGAATCAACGCGAATATGTCGGGAACGCCTCGGGGGAATTTCTTCAAACTTTGCAGAGAAAAAGAAGAATTGATGACCATATTTCACAACTAAGTCCAGCCCCATTTGGAACATCGGTCAACGTTCTCCTTTAATAACATGATATGTGCTAGACTTGTGTATGTTGTGTATGGTGTGTGGACACCAAAGTTACATGGTGCAAGAGGCACCATTCACCTTGTTACACGCCAGTGTAGCACCAAAATGATTTTGAAACCGTTTTTATGAAATGTTACAACATAATGTTGCTTTTTATCTCGAGCCATCATCAGGTCAAATGTTTGCAGAACTCTTTGACTTAGCCTTGTTATGACTTGTAACAGTAGCTTGACTGTCTGTCCTCTTCTCCCCTAAAACAGATCACATTGTCCCCTGATGCCAGGAACACCGCTTGGGTGTCGTTTGATGGCAGGAAGAGACAGGAGATCCAGTATGGAGACTGGTAAAGCGCATTCACTGTCATTATCAGCCGCCGTTTCATTTCTTTTTCCTCAATTTAGGGTTAATTTGCTTTCTGCTTTTCTCCCAACAGTATCAAGATTACTACGTCTTGTTACCCAGTGCCCTCTATCTGTTGCCATGACCTGGTGTACGACTGGTTTGAAAGCCTGGCTCAGTGTTTGCACTGGAACGTGCGCAAGAGGCAGGCACGGCTGGCGGATGTCTCGGACTCGTCAGACACGGAAAACTGAATCAGCGTTGTGGCCTACGTTAAAGACACCGAGCCGACGCTCTCCACAGCAGCCGAGTCAGTGAGAGTGTGGAAGTCAGGACTGTTGTGGGACAACCACGAGGTCACGCTGCAAACAGGGTCATGACAGAAACACTTGGAGAGCGAGAGCACGTGTCTACAGCCAAAGTAGTGTTATATTAGTCCTAATAGCATGTACAAGGAGCATAGTGTGTATACAGTATTTTATACACTGAGTCATACATGTGAGTAAGCATTACATTCCAGTAAAAACACAATCTTTTATCTGTAGCTTATAGGGAGAAAGCATGTTTCCCACCTAGAAAAACTATAGCAGTTACTTAAATTATTACAATATGTGATACTCTGGGTGTTTTGTTGGACTTGAAGCACTTAATCCTCAATGTGATTATCAGCGTGTCAGTCCATGCGTTACTCGCATAGACTAAGGACTGTAACTGTAAATGTGTACATACAGGATTCTAGGATACATTTATTTAATGTCATATTTATGTGATATTTATATATTTTCAAGATAGGAGCTTAAAAAGACGTAAAACTTCATTTCTACTACTGATTCAACCAAAGACAACTGTATGTAATTGTTCTGTACAAACATATTGACCCTTCCTAAGTCCCTCCCCTTTTCGCCGGTCTCAGTCAACTGTCTCCTTTCCTGTTCTTAGATATACCGTATGCTAAGTGCTAGGCTTATACCCAAAACCCCTGTTTTTTTCCGGGTTTTCCCATATTTCAAGACCATCTCCTGACTCCTTCCTGCTTTGTTTCTCCCAGGAAACTCCCGTAATTTGCAGGGCCCTCAAACTTTATTACGAATAATCGTACACAGAGTTTGCCCGACATCACCCTTTTTTGATCATGAAGCCTGATAAAAAATATAATATTCTGTAGTTTGTTAGTAAACTGCAGACTGAAGTCTCTGTTAACAGTGACAAATAAATGGATAATAATACACTTTTTTTTATAAAGCACTTTTCAAAACAGCAGTTTCAAAGTGCTTCACAGTTAAAAAGAAATCAAAAGTCAATAGTCAACAATAAAACAATAGAAAAACAATGCATAATGGTAAAAGAGATGATCCACTTTATATTCACTGTCTGCTCTTATGTGTGCTAGCTTTTTGCTACAGAACAAAGCACTGGCTAAGTAGCTAGTTAATTTACATTTGCCAACAAAAAGTTAGCTACCTACTTTATTTACATCAGTGGTTACCTAGTGATTTGCTAACATTAGCTGTGACTATATATATATGTATATATGTATATGTTGCTTTTATCTTTCAACAATCTTCTGCCTGTGGTAGAGAGAGAGCGTATCTAAATACAGGAAAGGGGAAAGATGACGAGGTGCTGACTGAGGCTGGTTCAAATGTTACTGGGGCACAGAGCATAAAGGGGCGGGACTTAGAAAGGGCCAATTAACCAATCCAGATCTGACTTTCTGCACATTTTTATTTTATTCATTACTTTTCTGCACAAGTTAAATTCTAAAAGTCAGATTGCATGTTGTAGAACAAAATAATCAGTTGGAGAAACTTCATGTTGTTTTTATGATCATTAAACTGTGAAACTGACTGTCTGTAGCAGAACTAAAATAAAAACACTGGCTAATATTGTCTAGTCTGATGTCTGGTGGGTGAATGCACACTTTCTGACTCATTCAGTTTTTTGGGATGTCACCAGATTACTGAGACATAATATTTTATGTTTTATCTTCAATAAAACATGACCAAATTCTTCAAGTACTTCAGTGTAATGTTCTGTATTACTCCTATTTAAATGTAGAGTTTTAAAAGAAAAAGTTTAAGATTCTTTCAGGACCTTTTGGACATGCTGCTGTCTAACTACAGATGAGTTTATAACCTGAAGTCTAACTGCAGGGCGGAGCAGGGAAATTAGATCAGCTGTGGTGTTTTTTTATTATCTGCAACTAGGGGGCTGCCTCTCACTGAGCAGGAAAAGTGAAGATAAGTAAGTGAAGCCGTTATTTAAAACTTTCGATTATACACTCATAGGGTGAGTTTATCAGGTACACCTAGGTAAAATACAACAGTCCTGCAGTGAATCTTCCCTTCAGGAAGGTTATAATGTTTCAGAGAGGAGTCGATTCAACTGTATGGTCACTTTGCAGGATGTTTGTGCTGTTAATGCAAACACCTGTCTGTGCAATGCAATGTAATTAAACATTTCCTTCCCTCTCTAAAACATTATGTTAATGAGGTAGGATTTAATGCAGGGTTACTGTATTAGACTGCATTAATTGTAATTTAATAAAGGCTAGATTAGAATCAAACCTTTTGTCAGTGTACAAAAACAGCTGTCATTTTATTAAAGGCCAACGATTTGCTGATTTGAGGTTCTTAAATGTGAGGATTTGCTGCTTTCCCTTCTTGCATAATGGATTCTAGGAAACGTGTTTTTTTAAGGATTTGCTGACATTTAGGACTAAAGTTCGCAAAAATAATCAGTTAATGAAAATAATTTGTCCCATACAAGTCATTTTTTTAGTTATTTATCAATATTTCTAATAAAAGTTATAAAATATTTTAGAATGATGATTGCATTAAATATCCTTTCACTTGTATTAATATTGTTGAAATGTCTGCAGCAGGTCAGTACTAACTGCTCAAAAAGGTATTTTCTGAACCTTCAGTGAGCTGATTATACAGTATTTAAGTATCATAGTGTTTACACTATACATGTTGTACACACTAAAACAATAACAGGAGCATGTTTAGTTGCAGAGCGTCAATAGAGAGCAACCAAAAGATCTAGTACAGTAAAAATATGACAATACTTGCTTGTGCTTTCTATAGTTTTTATTGCAATGATAAGATACAGATATATTTCCAGACATCCAGTTTTATTAAATTATACTCCAATATTGCATGACAGTCTTCAGAATGACATTGATCCAAACGTGGACAACTAGGCGATCAAAAGACACGGTTTTTGACCAGAGATAAAACACGGATGTTTTATAATTTCACTTTTTATTTCCCCCAGAAATGTGCGATGAGAAGCAGCAGCATAGAGAGTAATAATACTACAATATACAACAGACCGATACTGTGCAACAGTCAAGAACAAGTGGGGGAATAATCCTTTTTTTTCTCTTTTCTCTTTTGTGAAATGTTATGCCAATATTGAGAGTACAGCGACTGGCAACTCAGGACACAGAGATGCACTTTGCCCGTTTGGGTTGGGGGGGGAAGAGAAAACAAACAAAGATAATAGAAAAGAAACAGGAGCAACAACATGGTGGGTTTGTGAGTCAGGAAGTCAAAAGAGCTACAAATCCCTCAGTGGGATTACAGGAGAACAAACGACTAAATACAAAACAAATGGACTGTACAGAAAGCTGTGTGAAATATATTCAAATACCGTTTCACTGTGAGGAGACGTTCTGCCACATCAGATTAAGTGGGAACCAGCAGGTTGTTGTCAAGTGTTACGCAAGCCACTGGTTTTATAAGCTCGGGGTTAATGACTAACCGTTTTTAGTGAGAGAAACATACGTGGAAGCGCACAATCAACCAGATCACACATCCAACGCTACGATGACAAAAACAGAAACAATGCTGATATCTAATAAACTCCCACTGACTTCTAATCCCAGATGTTACCTTTAAATAAGAGTACACTGTTGTATGATCGTATAAAAACACAAATGAGCATTACAAACAAAAATTATACCTCCTAATACAAAAGAAAAGAAGGGGGACAAAAAAAGAAGTTTGTTTTATAGGTTTTAGACTGTAAGTATATATTTGATATATCAATAGAATTCAAATATAAATGATACATTTCTATTTTTTATACTTAAATATAATCCCTCGCTATGACTAAAAAGAGCATCTATGACATTTCTAGCCAGAAGAGAACGTGAAGGAACAGCTTGGACCTCGGGCCGCCGGTTTCTGGGCTTTCGTCTGGTCAGTGGAGCTGGATTCATGAAGAGCACCCACTGTCTTCACACGGCGGCTCGTGTGAGACTACACACAACTGGTTTGGGATGAGAGTCTAGTGCAAACACCTTTTTAAAAACGGTTTCATTGAGACCAAAAAATCTTTGTTTAGCTACACACTAACAACATTGTGCTGTTTCATTATTTATTTTCCAAAGATGTGAAAGGTTCGAGGAGTTTTGACACTGCGGTTACAAAATGAACCCCTCGCTCTCGCACTCAACTCTCCGTATTAAATCTGCATGCGTATCATCATTCTTAGTTGTGTTTGGCACTAGTTTGCTTTACTTTATATCTGGTTCTGTTTGCAAATAGACAGTTAATCTGTGAACTTAACATTTTATAGGTTTAGTTGTACAACAAATGCTGCAATCTTTAAAAAAAAGAAAGAAATTAAGTACGCCAGCTGTGTCCCAGTTGCTCACATTTACTCTTAAAGATGAGTCCCACATTTAACATGAACTAGAAGTACTTCAGACTGTGTGGAGGATTGCACTATGATCATCAGCCATTAAAAAAAACAACATATTTTCTTAGTGAAAATGGCAAGTACCTCAAAGAGCCGTACTACTCTGTTCTCCAAATACTCCATCCAGCCACAATATGGTCGGTTTTTTGTAAGGTTTCCTTCGAGTAAACTACAGGATTTGGTCCATCTGGCTTAGTTCAGGTTGCAAAACAGACGCTGGTCAGTTTGCTTTAAGGGCTGCCTGAGAAAGCGATCAGACTCACTGGCGTTCGACAGGAAGCGTGCTCCTGCTGGCGTTGGCTCACCAACGCGCTAAAAAAACAAAAAACAAAACTGGTAAAAGAACTGGGGCTTTCTGGCTTTCTACCGTGATTGTACCAACAACATCGACCTCAAAGACGACAGTGAAACAACAGAAGTGGGGGCGGGGGGATGAGGAGGAGGGGGCAAAGAAACCAGCACGTCTTCTCTTTACTGGTCAGCTTAGCTCATCTCCATCATCTGTATCTAAGGTCTGGATTTGACCTCACACACATACGAAACCAATGTAACCAAAGACAGGGGACAAATAAAAACATTTTGAGTTTGAGCTACTTCATGAAATGAGAGACCAAAAAAAACAAAAAGGACAAAGAAATGAAAACCCTCCATCAGAGATATCGTTCTGATGGATTTTCTCAGGCAGGTTTTCATCGGGACATAAATAACATTTGGGTGGGAGGAATCACATCCACCATAAGGCTTCTTCTTTTTGTTTGTTTAAATTTGTTTTCCCTATTGTCGTAGCCGTTTACTTTTCACCGCTGTGTCTTATCCCGGTACTGGTCTGTCGGTACTGTTTAGTGGAAGATCTCAACAACAAGAGATGGAGCCTCTCCTCGTCCTCAGAGAGGCCGGACGAGCGGGTCCTGGGATCACAGGAGGGGAGGGAGGGAAGGACAGAGAGAAGTACAGAGTGATGGGATTTGTAAGAAGTTTATGTTTCAGCAGTTTGGGGTTTAGTCTCACTCCCACCCTCTTCTTTCCTCTCTTGCGTCTCCTCGTCTTCCTCCTCCTCCTCCTCCTCTTCCTCCTCCGTGTGCTGCTCCAGCTCCTCCCTGGTGATCATCTCAAAGTCGTTACCGTTGCTGTGCTGCGAGCCCTCGTCCTCCCGGCGGTCGCTGTCTGTGTCCGAGTGGCGATCTGTTCCCTCCCCCTCTGCTTCTTTACTCTCCTCCTCCGCTGCTGCCTCTTTGCTCTCTTCCTCTTCCTCCTCCTCCTCCTCCTCGTCGCCGTCCTTCTTCTCGCTGTCTGACTTCTCGTCGCTGTCCGACTTCTGAGCCTTGGTGGAGGAGCCGTTGTCCTTGTCGTCCGTCTTGTCCGAGCCCTTCTTGTTGCTGGATCGCGGTCCTTTGTACTCGTGAGTGTAGAGCGGCCTGAACGAGTCGATGAAACCCACGTCTGCCGTCAGGTTGGGGAGGAACCAGAAGTGGTGGCGCCCGCCGGTCACCAGCCAGATGATCAGGAAGAGGATGCAGCGGGCTGAGGAGAGAGGCAACAACCAGTGGAATCCATTTTAAACTACAGCTATTTAAATATATCGCATACATTTAACTTTAGTACCAATGTTCATCTGTGTCTGAAACGTGTTACACTTTATTGAATTCACTGTAACTGCGTCTCTAGTCTGTTATTTGTCTACTTGTTTTTTGTTTGATCCAATATTTACTATTTCTTTTTATTCTGTTTTAATTGATTTTTTTAATGCATTTCTTCGCCTTATATAAATACTTTGAATTGCTTCTCTGTGCCGTACAAATAAAGTTGTGTTGTATGAACAAAAACTCAATTCTTTATAACATTTTATTGTAATTAATAAATAAAATTTTAAGTATTCGGCTGTGAAAAACCTCATTCTCCTCCATGCAACGCTATAATGGCACGCAGTATAGTTTTATATGTTGCCGGTAGTGTTCCTATGAGAGTGCAGGTTTGATCTATTTTAGAGTTATATATTTATACACATGTTTGTTCATGCACTCTGGCCACTTTATTAGGTAAACTTCTACAATCCAATGCAACAACTCAGCTTCAAATTCAACCTTTATAAAGGTCATTTTGTTCAGTTTTAATTGACTGAGAGCAGACTAACTATATGTGGGTGGTACTGGTGGTGTTGAACTGGATGGCTTATATTGAAATATTTCTAATATTCTCTTTATGTTGGGAAAAACATTAGTAATAATAAACAGTTACATTTTTTTAACAACTCAACAAGCCTCAGGCGTGTGTCAAGAGGCTGTTTCTTTGATTACTAACAAAAACAAATTTTAGGTGGATTTGTTTTGTGTTTAATTGAAGAGATTTCTCACAGGAGCTTTTAAATATTTCCCAGTGAGGTCTTTTGTATGAAGCACGTGTACTTACCAACAGCAAGAAGCAATATACTGGCCACGAAGCAGCCTGCTGCAACACTCAGATAGTAAACTCCTACACGCATTTCTGCTGGCCACAGAGGGAACAGCGTGGCTGCAATCACTGCGATGACTGAAAGACAGAGAACACACACACACAGACACACATAGACACACACAGACACACACAGACACACACAGACACACACAGACACACACAGACACACACAGACAATAGTGTGAGTACTAAAAAGTGCAACCAGTAACAGATGACCCTCCATTAAGGAAATTCCTCCACTGACTCACCGAGGATCAGTCCCATGGCAAAAGTCTTGAAGTGAACAGGATCATAAATCCACACAAACACCTGAAGAACACAGACACATTTTGAGTTTTTGATATCTTCCAGGATCACAAACACTTCTCCCATATAACTTTATTCTCCACACACACACACACACACACACACTCACACTCACACTCACACTCACCTCATTTCCATCTAGAAACAGCTGATCCTCATGAGGCTCCAGTTTAAACTTCTTCTTCACCTCTTTCTTCTTCTTGGGGGTTCCAGGACTGTCATCCTAATTCAAATGAACAAATATTAACTGTAAAATCTGCATTTTACTCACAAATCATACTTGTGGAGAGACAGTGCAACCTACACACTGGTTAGAGAGACAGATAGTAGACCATATGTTTACTGTGGGGGTTTATATTGAAGCACAAGTTCACAACTGTGGGAAATATTCATATTCAGTTTTGGACTAACACTGATTTGCCTGGTTGCCGTGTCTAGTGCAGCTTCTGGGAAGTGAACTGTCACGCATTGCACTGGAGGACACATCACATTTTTACCTCTGTCACTTTGCATGCAGCCATTAAACCGTGCCAGTCAGACGGGTGTCGATACTGAAGTCTGCTCTGAATGATTTCAGTTATATTAGCCATATTATCTCTCTATTCACAGAACCATCAACTCACGACATTCATTCTTTTCCCCATGACTTCTAAAAGGTCTGTGCCTGTCCAGCAAAATCAATGCGCACTCATTTACTGTCAGGTTAGGAGGCCGATCAGATCAGCGATGTCTGACCGGTCATAAAACAAACATACATCAGCTGAAATCCGCCTGAACTGAGCAACAGAACACTGGTGACCTTGTTTCAGATGGATCCTACTCTCAAAGCAGCCTCTAACACTATCCTGTTCAGACAGATATGATCTGTTGTCATCACAGAGGGCAACAGTGATGGGTCACTTACACTCTTCTCTTTCTTAGTTTCAGCTGCTTCAGGCTCTTTCTTCTTGTCTTTCTCCTTCTTCCCTTTTTTCTCCTCCTCTTTGCTGCTGTCACTTTTTGCCTTCTCTTTCTCTTTTTCCTTTTCTTTCTCCTTCTCCTTCTCTTTCTTGGTGTCTTTTTCAGGTTTTTTCTTCATCACTTTGAGAGCCCGATGGAAGAACTGCTTCTTTAGGAGTCTGCAGAGGAAAGGAGGAGAATGTAGGGTTATAAACACTGATTTAGTTTAAAAGGATTCTCCGTCAGTGTGCACGGACTCAGAGGTCATGTGAAGGATATTATCCCAAAATGCTAAATGTTGAGCCTTGAGTTTCGTCAGTTACTGCATGCCTTGTTTTGGAATAAAATTTGACAACTGTTTATTTATCTATCAGAAGTGCAGCAGTGTGTGTTACGCAGCTAACCTGTTGCAGTAATCAACCACAGACTCCCTGGTGGTGAACAGCGCCTCCTCTCCCTTCTTAGCCTTGGCCCACTTGGAGTCCAGCAGACAGTCCACCGCCTTGGAGGCTAAATGTTGGCACACAAACGTGGACATTTAAAAAAAAACACAGAATACTACTGGGCCTGTTCAAAGTTAGTTGGTGTTTGTGGGAGGGGCAAACTGTCCAGGACTAGATATGTGGGGTAGTTGGCTGCTGTGATAGGAGCTGAAAATCCAACAAGGAAACTGAATACAGGACAGAAGCAGAGGGCAGTGGTTTATATGGAGTAACATCTAAGTAATAACTCATTTTATTGGTCATTTGAGGGCTGCAGGAACAAGCTGTGAAGTCAAATCACGTTCTAAGTCGATGGGGTCAAGTTGTTTGCAAACAGTTGATTATTACACATGCAGCAGTTACACAGCATCATTATTATTCATTTGGAGTCATATTTCTGTTCCCCTGATGACTGTTACGTCCGATATTCACACTCTTTTAGCTCTGTTTTGGCCACCACAAACTCCTGAGAGAAATATTTGGCTCCTTAGCTGTTAAATGCTCCGATGTGTTCACCAGAAATTCCTAATGGTGTCTGTCTGCTGTTTGGGGCTGTACATGTTGTGTACTGTGGGTTTTTAGAGCGTTTCCACTGAAAACAGCTGTTTTCTGTGGCTGAAAACGACGACTGCGAGAATGGTGAGAACGAACCAAAACTGTAAACGAGGGTAACAAAGACTTGAATAATGACTACATGATGTCGACATCTGTAGACATATTTCTGTCCACAACAGAGGTGAGCATTTTTAAGTTTGGTGTGATGGGGATGAGAGGAATAACCGGCCCCAGCAGTCACACCCTTTTCTACCCACAAATACAAAGTAAACAGCATTTCCCAAAACTGACAAATGGATTACGCCATGCCACAGAACAAGACAAATATAAATACTGTGTGGGAGGATCGGGTCTGCAAATGGGACTGAAGCAGCAACATTTGTTTTTAAGAATTTGCCAACTCTTCCGCAACGTGGCACATAGTTTACCCCCCCCAAACAAATACCAATGTGAACAGACCGCTGGTTTCATTTACTGTGGCAAAATCGACTGTGTGTGTGTTTCGAAAACAAAAAGCGGGCAGGGTTTGAGAGCCACGTCCTGACTCGCTCTCCACCCGGTGTTTAGGTGTGTTTTGAGCACTAACCAATGAAGTAGTCGACGCGGTGGCCCATCATGTTCGTGGACTTGGTGGGGCAGTTGAACCGGAGGTATTTGGCCACCGCCTTCTCCTCCTTGGTGGGCTCGCTCACCTCCTGCAGGGAACACACAAACAAACGGATGAGTAAACACACACACACACATTCAAAACGACACTGCAGTCAGTCCTTAAAGCTGGTGCAATGGTTCTTTTCTATATTCTGGCACTGAACTACAGACAGACAACCAATAACAAATCTTACAGCAACAAATACAATGCTATCAAACTAGATCACGCTATAACCCTCTACAAAATACTGGTACAACTCATTTGCAGCGTTGTAGTCCTGCAAATTATATCACACTGTACGGTATACCTGATATTTTATCGAGACGACACCACACACTACGCCCATATTCAAAAATGATTAGAAAGTTAAATCAACATCTCTGACTGTCTCACTCAACAAACGTTCAACAACACATTAGAAACTTCACAAGAACAGTCTTATTATCAGTGATTCTGCACTGTATTGCACTTTGAAAGTGTCTCATATTGGGGTCGGACCTTTTAATGTCAAAACAGGTGTGGTGGGCACGAGGTGGGGGTGGGGAGTGGTTTAAATCGGTCACAGTACAGTTTTTTATCTCAGTATCTATACATATATTGCGCTGTGTGTGTGTGTTTTTTTTTTAAACTCAAAACTAGAAAAGATTGGACATCTGCTTTGCCTAACCCAGTGAATTAAATACCTACCAGATAAGGTTCTTCATAGCATTGGTGCAACAGTAGATCACAGCAGCCATTAAACATTAAACAGTAGGGTGAGCACAGGTGTTACCAATGATACTAATCAAGATGTAGCAGAGACCTGGTGAGACAACATGCACCAGAGCAGCACCCCGACTGTTTGACCTGAATGGGTCCAAACCTTAATTAGTATCATTGGTAGCACCTGTGTTCACCCTACTATTTAATGTCAGAATGGCTGCTGTGAAAAGAACAAGTGTATTCTGTAAAAGAAGATGTTACCATGAAACGGTCCTGCTTTTTGATTTTCAGGCTCGGTATAAAAAGTATAGAAGTCTAATATCTACTCAAAATGAGGTCTTTGATTTTACCCGACAAAGTTCACAGAACATTTTAAGGGTCTATCATTAATATTTCACTGCCCATCACTAAATGACCGTAACAGCAGTTTCTGCAGGGGTGCTGTCATCTGTGGCTTTAAAATGTACTTTCTGTCTTCTTCGCACAAAACCCCAGTGTTTCAATCCTGTGATCGGGTGAGAAATAACCAAAAATGGTTAAAAGAAGGCTGAAATTAAAGTGGCTGACTAGCTAAGTAGAACACGTCCTGTAAAAAGCGTCCCCACCTCTAAAGAAAGCCCCGGCGTCTGTCTACCGTGCAGATCCAGTTTCATATACTGTCGATGTTTATCTGTAGCAGTAACAGAGAGAGGCCAAATCTTTTCCCTTCCTCCTCGCAACATCTGCACTGTCTGCCAGCAGCACTGAATCACATGCCAACACGGAGGCAACGAGAGGGCGCAGTGAGATTCAGTGCTGCGACATCCAGTCCAGCTGGCTGCGACCGGCAACCTGAGGAAGACGAGGCCATCAAACAAGCCTTTGTTTGAAGAAGCAGGTATCAGTCACGCGGCTCAGTTACATGAGACCCCTACACGGAAAGCCCCCTTGTCACCGTCTACATGATCTACCTGGCTTCACATGAGGATTAGCTGCTCTGTTCTAGAGTGCTGGTCCTTTAAGATGTAGGTCCATTATTCAAGTGCAAAATTAATCACAATATCATCCAAATCGCACCAGAGCCAAGTGCAATACCCAAACAGCAGAGGCTGCAATGTTTTGGTAAAAAAGGTAAAATGTGTGACAAACAGCGACATAATGAAGTACTGTAGTGCTGCGGCGAGTCTTGTTCTCCACATGTAAGGAAACATGTTTGTTTGGTGCAAACCGCAACAAAAGTCACATAATCATTAAGACTGTCAGTGAAAATTAAAAATGTGGTGCAAAAATGATTATTCCCACTAACCGTGAATCACAATCTGAACACATCGTGCACCATAAAGCGACAGATGTGGCTATATATGTAACCCATTTCATCCACAGTGGAAAACAGTATATGAACAATGAGGAGAAATCATGTCAAAGGAGGAGATAAGTGTTGTGTAATGTGGTATAACACAGATAACAGTATGTGTTGTTATGCAACTAAACTTAAACATGTAGAAACCTACACTTAAGTCGGGAGGCTTATGAGAAACACCTACCTCAAACTAATGCAGCGGCCCTGAAACCACGTTTATTAGGCTTATGAATATAAAAACAAAAGGTGTTGATTCAACTTTCTGGTCATTTTGTCACACTGAGAGGTGTTGCTGATGTTTATTCTTTGACCCTCAACAGAAACTGATCATAACTTCCATGAAGGTTGGATTTAATTCATCAATGTGATGTAAAGCGCAGTCAAAAGGAGATTTCTGAAGCATAAAGAGGAACTGTGTGTAGTGCAGAGTGGTGATGTTGGAACAGACAGGCCTCTTTTGGTGACGGCGTGTTCATAAACGAGATAACAGTATGTGTCGTTATGCAACTGAACCACTAAACAGACCAGTCGGTTCTGAATCTAACGGCAGATTTTCAGTTTTTAAAACTCTTTAAAAAGAAACTGGACATTTGAACTTTTACGTTTTATTTCAGGGCTGTTGTAATCGAGAGCATTAGTTTCCACCAGGTGTATGTAACTATTTTATAACGTCGGCTGTAAGTCCGGCAATACAAGAGGCAAACTCAACATTTTCATTCATCCAGAATTAGAGAGTGAAAGTAGTTCAGCGCAGCTTATCCCACTGATTCCTAGGAAACGACTGCTGTGTCCCAGATCCATACACTAACTGTATAAGTTATGTACTATACTGTTTAATACGAACAGTCTTTGTGCATGTTGTGAATAATAGTGAACATCAAAACCACACTCAAAAATCTAGTCTTTTTCTATGAATGCTAACATTTTCGATATGGATGCAATGATTGGGAAAGTAAGGGCCAATCTTTAAAATCACAATTTGGCCGGTAACAAGTTTTTTATGCTATTTATTTTCCCTTCTGTGCCCGGCAGACAAATAATCCTACAAATACAAACACGTCTGCCTCGTTGCAGCTCAGTCTGTTTCTCTTCTCATCCAAGATTTGAGACCTGAACAGCCACTCAGTGTCGACACTGGTATATAATATGCAATAAACACCAATATTTGAGTGTGTCAGTGAATATGCTGCATCCGTACGTTTGAGTATTTTAAATATTGTCCCCCTTTTTCCACTTTCAACACAGGAGAAACTCAAACCCTGATCAGAATCAGTTCCTAGCATGAACCCAAACCACTCAAAGGTTTGATCCTGTGTGTGATAGTCTGTTCCTCTCACCTGTTCCTCCAGGTGACTGGTTTCAATCAATGCACAGATCAGACATGTGCACTGATTGTTTTCACGTCTTAGAGTGATGATTAAGTTGACCGAGCGACTCCACAAACTGTTGCTTTACCTGAAATCCACGCTGTGGACTTTAACGCCACCCTAACCCGCCGCTGCCTGCACATGAAGTGACCTGACGATGCACCGTGTTGGACTCATTCATTAAACTTCCCGCAGATTGTCTCACGTTATGTAAACACGTCTGCTTAGAGCTGACGCAGCTTAGCCAGAAAAAAACACGTCTCCAGCCAGTTTGAGTCAGACTAAAAAACGGAGACAGTTATAACACAGTTTCTACGTGTATATCCAGGTGTGAGTGCCACTGCTGGGAGGGATAAACAGCTCGGAAACGCCTCAACAAAAACAAAAACTAACATTTGTTGTCGCTCGCCAGCTAACGCTAGCCACCGTTAGCTCTCCTCCAGCGTCATCTCCCGCCGGTTAACGGCTCTTCACGAGGATGCTGCCGGTAGCAAACATCCGGCAGCAGGTCGTAAACAAGTGCGTGGTTTTTATTTGCTGTCCTTCAACCCGCACAGGCAGTAATGTTTGTGATTTAGGTGATGTTACCTGGATCCGTTTCTTGTGCCTCCTGCGCTCCGCCATGATCCCTCCAACTCAGCTCCTCCGATAGATCCTGAAGTATCGCGAGAGTAACTACAAACGAGATTACCGGTTGAGAAAAAAAAACTCATTTCATTCATAAGTGATTCACCAGTGGCTCACGTCACGACCCCCCTTTTTCTATTTTATTTTTAAATAATAATATATTCTGTATAAACAAAACAATTAAGGTTTAAATTATTCTTTTTTTTTTTTTAAATATGTTTGTTATTGTTTTTGTTTATTATTTTGTGTGTATGTTCTTCTGTACATTCAGTAGTAAATGAAATGTAATGACTTGCCAGGACCCCCTTGAAAACAGGATGATGCATTTAAAGAAGCTAATCATATTAACAATAAATGTATTCAGTATTTATCAGAAATTAGATTTTGCTCAGTTGTCGTATTTTAACTCAATGGATCTTAAAAAGGAGCTACAGGTACAGGTAATAGGTTTAGCCTGTTTTCAGGACTTTTATATATTTTTTTTTTCATAAAATATATGATTCTTGATCTTAACTTATTTATTCTTCTTTACCATGACATGGAGACAGTACATCAGGTTCCTATGTAGAAAAACACTTTATTTACAATCCAACAAACGCAAAAAGGTATCAAACATCCAAATCCAAAACAGAACACCATTCCCAAATAATTTCTATGGTCCTTATGTCGGCCTACTGGAGAAATGACACTTAGCAGCTTATAAAAATAAGTAAGTTTAAAGCTAAAATCATATGTTTAAAAAGAAGAAAATTAAATTTAATTGGACCTTCTTCTCATCTCATAACTCAAAATCCACATCAGTTTCACACCACAGTTGTTATTAAAAATATATGTAAATATATATGTAAAATACAAATATTTAGCAGACACCTGGAGCTAGTGTGAACCTGTGCATTAAACACCCGGGTAGCAAATAGTAAAAAAAGCATCTTCAATCCAGTTAATCATTATGTAAACAAATCTGTGGCAGCAGGAGGTTCAGGTAGCGTGGCTTTGATCTGTCCACATTATCAGCACTGATCAGGCCGTCTCACTGCTGGCAGATGGAGGGGAGTTGTTTTCTGTCTCGCGAAGGTGTTCTGTGGACTTGAGGACATCAGGCTCTCTTGGACTCGCCATCATCTCCTCACTGTTGCAGTTAACAGGGGAGCCGGTCTCTGGTGAGCGGTCCCCGGGCTTCTCTGGAGTGGCCTGCAGGGTGGAGGTGGAGAGTGGCAGGTTCATCATGTACAACATGTTGCCCAGACGCCTCGACACCTGAGGAGGAATAAAGAGTTGACACATATTAGAGAGGTAATTATATTGCATCTGGTATTATGTACCTGGGGAGGACAGTAAAGTGCTGCAGAGGATGGTCACAGTCATTAATACCCAATACTACAGACCTTTTTCACAGCAGACATTTAGACATGTCAATATAAGATGTAAATGATTAAATCAACGATGGCTGAATTGCATTTAGCTGCCTCAGTTTTAGGGTATTGTACATGTTGGCTCACTGTCATGTCTTACTTAGACACTTGAATACAACAGAATAATTGTGAATATTATTATCAAACATATTTTTTATTGAGCAGATAGGTTTGTACATTCAGTACATTTGTGCATGCAACATTGGAGTCATTAGTAAATAAGTAATAGGCACAGAAGTGTAAATAAAATGACAAACAGACCAAATAAAAACCATAATAATAAATATAATACAATAAAATGAGTTGAGCAGAGATACCCCTCCCAATAAAGCCCCTCATCCTCCACTATCACTTTCATACTTACCCCTCTCATCATTAATGTTAGTAACAACTGTGCTTTTACTACTATGACAAGTCAAAATGTTTGCTGTGAATAATCTAGTTTATTAAATATTGCATATATGTACTTAATTTACCAAATATTGTCATTCTTATTCTCCATATTGTAAGATTACAATTGTTACTTATGTTTACTCTGCACAAACCACATCTATTGCATGTTAATGGTTATTTTAAACAGTAATATAGTATATATCATTTTCTGTATGTTCATTTTGTGTTTTATAAATTGAGGAGTATTTATTGAGGAGTTCTTGTGTTTTTAAGTATTTTTTTTTATTTTATATTTTTTATATTTTAGTGACAGCTGAAGACAGACAGGAAAGGGGAGCAGAGAGAGGGGATGACACGCAGCACCCTGGGCCGCTGCAGCAAGGACTCAGCCTCAGTAAATGGGACGCCAGCTCTACCCACTAAGCTAAACGGGGACCCCAGGAGTTCCTGTGTTTTACAGGCATTCCTGAGATTTATTTTAAAGTAGCACATATCAGAGTCTGCGGTCCTTACCTGTGAGCGGATCTTAAGAGCTGGTCCCAGCTTGAGCCCCAGTGTGTCCAGTAGATGCTCCTCTGACAGGAGCGGCAGCGTCTCCCCATCAATCATGTGGTCTTTGAACGTCTGCAGAGCAAAGTCACATAACGTTAGAAACAACAAAGTAAAAAAAAAACAGAAAGAATAAAGACGACAGTTACAGAAAACTGCAGGAACCCACCTGAGCATATTCTGAACATGTGGGTATACTGTTGATAAAGTTGTAAACATCATTCACTGTCCACTTCCTGATGTCTTCGGACACCTCCTCACCATTATGAAAGAGATTGGGCGGACCTGGAAAAGACATGCATCATATATTGGCACTGTAACATACACTTACATTTAATTATACTGCAATGTTCAGATTGTGCTCCTCAAACCCACCAGGGGGAAGAAAACCATTTCCAGGGACTGGGAACATGTAAGGCATCCCTGTGAGGGCTCCACCAGCAGAGGGATACATGAATTTCTCCTGGAAAGCTGAACATTGGTTGGATATGTCTTTATCATTTGTACCGCTGTTGGCCACATCTGAGCACCCATCTTGACTGTTCACACAGGCTTTACGCAGGCCTGGCTCCCCCTCTTTGTAGTTCTTCCTGCTTCCTGTGGCGAGCTCAGAGTCTATTTTTGCTTGATGATGGGTCTTACTGGTGGCACACTCCTCTCCCATGTCCCCCTTTGCCTCCACTTCTTTCTCCTCCCCTGATGTGGCTCCCGGGCTTTGCTCTACACTTTTATCTTCATTCTGGCCCTTCAGGTTGACCACATGGCTCTCCACGCTCTTGTGAACGGTCGGCCTCCTACCGGCCCTTCGCCCCCTCTCTCTGTGCAGCGTGCTGATGGGTGGGTAAGGGCTGGCTGACATGAGTATGCTGTTGGAGTGCAGTTCATCCAGGGTGGGGCGGTGGACGAAGACATCGTGGCCGTCTGGCATGCGTTGACGACCTCTGAACGCCATGGGGTTGGAAGGGTATGACATGGAACTATCAATTCCCATGAGTCCCTTCTGGTGGGCGTTCTCCAGCTCCTTCTGATGCAGGATGGCATTCATCTCCATTCTGGGCACACACAAAGATTAGACACAAATATTAGACAACAGTGATGATATTGATGATGGAACCATGTTATCACGCGTTGCTGAAGCAGAGGGGACTGAATAAATCTTGATAATACATGAAATGGCAAAATGTGATGCAGACGTGTGTGTAGGTGGGATGTTTGCACTAACTACCTGGCTATATTTTGCTTGTGAATGAGCTCCTGTCGCCGGGCAACTGTTTCCATGGGCTCCGAGGACATAAAGCCATAGCCACCTGAGAGAAAGAGAGACGGGGCTGTTAATGCTCGTTCACATTCCTTAACGCAGGCTGGGAATTCTCTCAGGCCAATGCTCACCTGCTCCAGGGAACGCTCTCCCAGGCATGACATTGGCATGTGGGGGCAGAGGTGGACCCAGGTGAGGTCCCATGTGCATCTGTCTGCCATCTGAGGATACCATCTCAGTCGGGGGAACCAGCTCCCTGATGATAGAAACACATGGGAAATCAGTAATCTAGACATGATATCAAAGGGTTGAACATTTACTGACAGATATCAGCTGTTTGCATCTTATTTTGTTAACAACTACATCCATTTTGGTCTCTAGAAAAACATTTTCATTGTACAGAACAGACAGCACAGTGCATCAGATTAACCATGTCTTCTTCACTTAATGCGCATGTAACTGACAATGCCCAAGGGTGCCCTTTACCAGAGAGCTACTGTTTCAGTTTTAATAGGAAATTCAGGTACAGACCTCTCCATGAAGCGAGGTTCGAACTGTGCTGGCACCCCCTGTAACCTCTGCTGCCCCTGGGCAAGGATCTGTGGAGCCATGGCCATCTGGTTCCTCATTATCAGCTCTTGTCTCTGCCTCAGCTCTGCAAGAGAAGAGAAGAGCACCACAGGTCAGTGGGAAGCAAGTTTAGCCACAATACCTGAGACATGCACTGACTGTGAAAGCTGGACACTACAGCAGCTAACAATTCACTAGAATCAATACATGGCAGACAAAGTTGGTTTTAACCCGCTTGGAGCTCCAGATTGGGATCTAATATAAAAGATTATAATGTACCTTTATCGGATCCTAATTGTCTAAGCTCTGCTCTTGTTTAAAGTTGTAATTTTTATATAATATTTATATTATGTTGCTTTGTCTCCTCTGTGTTTTCATTTACCTCCAGCCGACATGCCATTGACCAGGCGGTACCAGTGCTTCTCATCCAAAGATCCCTGCTCTCCCATCGCTGTCATCTTCCTCAGCTGCTCCCGTGGGGTCATGACACGCACAACCTTTGACCTCCACTCAAATACTGTAGAAGTTTGAAAAAAAGGGTCAATTCAAGAACTCAAAACTGGAGCCTGTGACCAACTACTTTGACAATATTGTAGATTTTAAGTTAAAAGAAAATTGAACTTGGATGGATGGATGGTTGCATATATTTTGCCACTAGGGGGCAGCAAGTATCTACACATTAGAAAGCTGTTGATGAACTTTGTGCTACTGTGCTATTTTCCAAAATAGTATGTAATTACACTAAAACATCAATAAATAAACACATTTTCTCACATACTTAAAAAACATAAGTAAAATATTTTGTCTATGAATCAAATATAATTTTAAGAACGTAGAGGATTGTTTATTTGTTGTCATGTTTGTGGTGTTTTTATTTGTGATGAGCTGTGACAATTAAATAGCTTTAATGGGAACTGACTGGAAAAATATAATATATATATATATATATATATAAAAAAAACTAGAAGCAGGACTGGAACAAGTTGCCAATATGGGATCTGTGCACACACATATTAGACATTGTCCAAATTCACTGTCTCACCTCTGATCCTTACTCTACCTCCACCCTAGTATTAAGCAATAATCTTAAACCAAACCCTTACCCTCACCGTATCGTAAACCTAATCCTAAACTTAAGTTTAACACCTAAATCCAAATCCTAACCCTAATACCGACCCCATAAATTGTGAAAACCAGCAAAAAATTGTTCTATTTTTAAGTATTTTTCCTGATCTGTCCCTCATTGCAAGCACATTTGGTCCTGGTAAGTGTAGTAAAAAAGCACACACACATACACTCACACATGCACGCACACACTCCAAATGGCCACATTGTTCTTGGCTGAGCCAGCAGCTTGTGTACACAATCACAATGGACTTAGACACCTCCAATTAGCCTTCTACACTGCAGAAATCCCATTATAAAATATGATACTGTAAACGACAGCGCAATAATCCAGTTCTGCTAATCCGGGGGTTCAATATGCTTCTGGGTAGATGCATCTGAATCTTCACTGCCCAAAAGTTCACCATTCATCTCTTCATATTATATTTTATTAGTTTACATTGATTATAATTGTATTTGATTTATATGTTTGTCAATTTGTGAGTACATGTGCAAACTGTGCATATGTACATGGCCACATTTCTTCTTCTGTCCCCTCCCCCAGACAAACGCTGCCATAAGATTTGCCCCGAGGCCTTGTGCATTATCCACAGTCACTCAAGTTCCCTCTGAAGCCCATCTAATCTGAGGGCTGTAATCCTCCTATTAGTCTAGCAACAGTCTGCTAGCTACATCTGCTGACCTGCCTGCAGACCGCCCTGCTGGCCCGTCCAACCCCCATCCCCACCTTCCCAGGCCCCTGCTACCCCCAGGATCCTATTAGCTAAGTCCTGGCTATACAGCACTTTAAAGGGATGTGTTGGCGGTAATCCGCACGTTTAGAGTTTTACCCTCAGCAAACCTTGCCTGTAAGCATCCCGGACAATACACCCTAAGTGCTAAGCCTATTAGCCTCCATTAGCTCCCAGGATGTCCTAAAAACACCTTGGGGATAAATCTGGGGATGCAATCGGTTTATGTGGAGCTATGTGGCGCGAACACATGCACCCTGCCTCCGCCTACTTCTCTGCCAATGTCATAACAGCTAGCATCAGCAAATGAGAAGAAATGTATTTCAACATTTATATCTCTGTAATTCCTAAGTGGGCACTAAGCCCCGAGCCTCGGGCCTTGTGTAATGTATTATCGCCTTCACATTCTCTCAATTAGGAATGAATGATTACACGTGTGTTACTGTAAACGTAGGTATTTCAAGATAATTGGACTTTGTTGGTGTTGTAGTTTGAGTGGATGAACAGCGTACATACTTAATGGTTAAATCCTGAAAGTGAAATAATGAAAATGTAAAGCAATATAAGTTTGATTCCTAAGCCTCTGGAGAAACAGTGCATCAAGTAAAACCTTTGCTCAGACAAAATACCACAAACTATGACAGGATGTTGCCTCAGGAAAATAAGGGGCCTGTATTAGCACCAGATTGTGCCTCCCATGTGCATTACATTTGAGTCACAGAGCTATAAGCCTCCTAGTTTCCAAAAAATAATATGCTGCAATTGTTGAAAAACTCTTATGAAGGAGTTTCCAGACTCCCCAAAGACTCCTTTAACCATCTGGAGGAAGAAATATTCAGCCTGTTGCACAATAACAAAGATTTTTTTTTTTAAATGTTTCACATTCTTAAGTTGTGATTGTTTGTGAGACTTTACGTAGTTTTTTTTGTAGCCAATTCATGTTAACCTGTTTAAATTACGGATAATTGTAAACATTATTGACAATCTGCATTTTTATATATTGTATATATTTGTGTATATATAGTTATATATTTGCACTTAAGATATTTGCACTCTTTGCTACTTTGTATTGCGACTTATTTTCTTCAGGATAAATACAATTAAATCTAATTTATCTTCTTTACATATGTCATTTGTTATCGCTCTTTTTGAAACATCATTATATACCAATGAGTTGAGTTGACTTTATAACCAACAAGCATTGTTAGGAACTTAGCTTGAGGGGTGAGCTCAGGGCATTTATTTATTTATTTACCTACCAGGGACAACACACATTGATTAACACTGCAGTTTACACTTTAATATAAATGTACCAGAGTTAGCTAATGAGCTAATTTTCATCTGTAGTCCCTGGGCAGGTTATAACAACCCAACATAACAATGACAAAGCCATCATGTAACATAAGCACAAGTTCAAAGTAACAAAGTACTATAAATATAAAATATAAGCTAAAAACAATATACCTTCGAAAGGTTTTCTGATAATGTTACTGATAATAGGATTTTTAATTATGTTTCTGCGCAAATTGAGCTGGCAGATACGTCATTTCAAGCCATCTTTGTTCACAACTTAAATTATATTTTTTTTATCATGCAGCAGATTGATTTAGTTTATTCATAAAAGAGGAACTACAGGATATAGGTTTCAAAAAAATATAATGGATAACACAAAAAAAAGCAGCATGCTTATTTCCATTGTGGTCTTTGATGGACGGTAGGGTAGTCGTCAGCAAATGATGAATGTGGGAGCTCATACATTCAAAAACACTCTATACTACATAACAGAGACTCTATATACAACACAAAAAATCTTTTATGATTCTGTAAATACCTTCAAAACAGCGGTATGTGTTGTTAATCAGGTATTTGTTTCAGCTCTGTGACTGTGTAATGGTCAATACACGAGAGGCACAAAGTGGGGCCAGGCTTGTGGGAACTTGAGCCATTTGGAGGAATCCTTCGTAAGGCCTGTTCGATCACAGCTAACACTTTGATTAGGTTTTGTTTTAAGTCTCTTAAGTGAAGTTGTAGCCTGAGCTTTAACTGCTCTAACACAAATGTTCAAACTTGACCTCGCACAAAATTCTTTTGGCAGCGTCAGAACCTTGCACGGAAATTTCAAGAAGCTTTCGGCGTTTTGTGAGTGAAACTGTCATTACAGGTGAGCCCGAAAAAAACTTTTGTCATATTTCCTTAACACAGGGGCCACACCGCAGCTGCCAAATCCAGGGATTGGACTCCTTGGATTTGCTGTTGCCTGGTTAATCTCATTACAAGAATGAATTAAAGGGAAAAATTGCTGACGACTTAGATGGAGCCCTGAGGAGGTCATATCAGACAAGACAGAAGTATTGTCTGGTCCTTCCTAATCCTCCTTCACACAACAAACACATGTTAAACCCATGTATGTTCTGTCAGTTGCAGATTAGATTTTATGAGAGTCAGAAGTGGAGAGTTGCAGGTAGTATTGATTTAAGAGTTACTTGAGGTGTCATAAGCTCACATCACAAAGTGTTGAAAAACACGGTGATTGAAAGTATAAAATTAAACATGAATCTAAATGAATATTTAGAAATATTCAGTATAATGCAGACATTTTCAGTCGATAAGAACTACAGGCTAATTTGTTGTGTATTTTAGCATTATTTTTTATTTCGCTGCTGAATCTGGGCTAATTATTAGGTTAATTATACAGATTTCAAGGTTGTTCCTCTAATCGCATTGGCCTTTAGATTAATCACTTACTAAGGGATCAGCAGCCTTTTATACAGTTTACATTATGCATGGCAAGGTTTACCTTGTGAAAGTTTTGCATTTTTATAAAATTGGCATGCAAATATTCAGTTGCATGCATTGATTTTAAGGTTGTTACTGTAATTTCTGACCACATACTGAAGCATCATATACTCTGAGTAAATGTTGTGCAGTAAATGTGACTTACAACAGCTAAAAAAAACAACCTAAACAAATGTGTCACGAAGAAAAGCATGGGGGAAAATGGAAGAGGAGAGTGGGAAAACTTTAATAGGAAGTTATAATGGACTTACCTTCAAGTTCACACCAGTGAGCAGAGCTTGGAACTGGTTTTGTCGTAATTCAGGAAAAAAAGTCAAAAAGGCAAAAGAAAAACCTTTGGAGAGCTCACAGAACTTGCCTCTCCACTGTCCCTGTTTCCCTTCCAGCTAAATAGCTTCCCACTAAACAGCCAACTGGTCTGTGCTCGGTCTGCTGCCAGCTAACTGCCTTAACTAAAAAAGACCTTTTAAATACCGATTCATTTCATCTCCATTAGATGGCCTTATCTCCTGCTGTAAGCCCTCCCTGTCCTGACATCACTATGATCTCCCATCCAACTGCTTCCCGCACCTTGCAACTGATGTGTAATTACTGAAGCAGCACTGGTCCTAAGCATGGAGTGCTAAACCTCTTTCAACGTTTACCTCACTAATCCCTTGTTAGCACTTTAGACCATAGTTAAGACACCTAAATGCTTAGCTTCCTTTTTCAGTGGCAAAATGGCCAACCCCTCCTTAACTGCTCTGCGGCCACATGCAGAGACGCTACATGATGCTGGTTCTAGACTTTAAAAATCCAACAGATCAGTCTTGTTTTTGTTTTTCATCATGTCTAGTTTGGGTTTCAGAAGTATTACGCTCCCCGGGGAGCCAAAGGGTTGACCCAAACATGCTTGGTGGTAATTTGCTAGAAAT